CCACATATGGGTGGAATCATGCAGTATTTTCCCTTTTGTGACTGGCTTATTTCACTTAGCATAATGTCTTCAAGGTTCATCCATGATGTAACATGTGATAGAAGTTGACAGCTCAGCGGCAGCTCAGCTCGGGCCGTGAATCGAACCAGCAACCCTGTTGCTCAGAGCTTGCACTCTTGAGCGAGCTCTTAACCAACTGAGCCACTCGCCGCGAACCGAATTTCCTTCTTTCTTAAGGCTAATATTCTAGTATCTGTATATATCACATTTTCTTTATCCATTCATCCATCGATGGATATTTGGGTTACTCCTTGACTGTTATGAACAATGCTGTAGTGAACGTGGATGTGCCAATATCTCTTTGAGATCCTTTTTTGAATTATTTTGGATATATACCCAGAAGTGGGATTGCTGGATCATAATTTTATGTCTGATTTTTTGAGAACTTTCATACTGTTTTTCATAGTAGCTGGACTATTTTACATTTCCAACAGTATACAAACATTCCAGTTTCTCCACATTCTAACACTTATTTTGGGGGTTTTTTTCTTGTGGGTCTTTTTTGTTGTTTTGTTTTTTGTTTTGATAGTGGCAATCTTTATGGGTGTGAGGTGATAGCTTGTTGTGAGTTTGATTTGCATTTCTCTAATAATTTGAGAGTGAGCAACTTTTTATATGCGTATCATCTTTGGAGAAATGTCTGTTTGACATGATGTCTTATTTTTAATTGAACTATTTTTGAATTCGTAAATATTGGCCATAATAGATTATTTTTATTGTTGTCAAATTATATTTACTTATTTACTTTTTGTTGATATTAAAGCTTGTGCTTATAAATGAAATTGCTCTTTAGTTTTGGTTTTTGTTCTTTATCATCAATTATTTACTCTATTTTTTAAATTTTTAATTATAAATGACATACAATATTATATTAGTTTCAGGTGTACAACATAGTGATTCAACATTTATATACCTTACAAAGTGATCACCACAATAAATCTAGTAACCATCTGTTACCATACACAGTTTTTATGATATTATTGACTTTATAACCTATGCTGTACATTACATCCTCATGACTTATTTTATAACTGGAAGTTTGTACTTCTTAATCCCCTTCCCCTTTTCCACCCAGACCCCCACTTCCCACCCCCTCTCCTCTGATAAGTAACAGTTTGTTCTCTGTATCTATGAGTTTGTTTTGTTCATTTATTTTGTTTTTTTAGATTTCACATAAAAGTGAGATAGTAACGATATTTGTATTCCTCTGTCAAACTTCACTTAACACAATACTCTGGGTCCATTCATGTTGTTGCAAATGGCAAGATTTTATTCTTTTTTATAGCTGAGTAAATTCCATTGTATATATGTATCACATCATCTTTATTCATCCATCAGTGGACACATAGGTTGCTTCCATATCTTGGCTATTGTAAACAATGCTGTGAACGTAGGGGTGCATATATCTTTTCAAATTATTGTTTTCTTTGGATGAATACCCAGAAGTGGAATTGCTGGGTCATATGTAAGTTCTTTTTTTAATTTTTTGAGGAATCTCCATACTATTTTCCATATTGGCTGTACGAATTTGCTATCCCGTCAGTAGTGTACAGGGGTTCCCTTTTCTCCGCATCCTTGCCAGTACTTATTTGTTATCTTTTTGGATAATAGCCATTCTGACAGGTATGAGATGATACCTCATTGTGGTTTTGATTTGCATTACCCTGATGATTAGTGATGTAGAGCATCTTTTCATGTGTCTGTTGGCCATCTGTATGTATTCTTTAGAGAAATGTCTAATCAGGTCCTCTGCCCATTTTTAAATTGGATTGTTTGTTTTCTTTATGTTAAGTTGTATGAGTTCTTTATATATTTTGAATATATTAATCCCTTACCAGATATATCATTTGCAGATATCCCATCCATTTAGTTTCATTTTTGTCTTGTTGATGGTTTCCTTCTCTGGGCAAAAATTTTTTAGTTTGATATAGTCCCATGTGTTTATTTTTGCTTTTGTTGCATTTGCCCAAGGAGATGTATCCAAAAAAAATATTGCTCAGACCGATATCAAAGAATTTACTGCCTATTTTCTTCTAGGAGTTTTATAGTTTAAGGTCTTATGTTTAAGTCTTTAATCAGTTTTGAGTTATTTTTGTATATGGTGTAAAAAAGTTGTGCTGCAATTCCCATCTCATTCGGAAGGTGCTGTAGGGCTAGTAAATGGATGTCTTTCCGGTATAGTCTAGGTGCCCTTTAAACCATTTGTTTTCATTGTACCCCAGGGTGGGCAGATCTGGGCACAGGCCCTTCAGTGATCCCTCTCTACTGCAAGTCAGTGCTTTGAGGATGGGGTTCCCGTGGTACCTTGTCTCCATCTGTCCTACCCATTCCTATGTGATTTCTCTTGTTTGTTGTACAGAAGCTGTTTAGTCAGCCTTCATTTCTTCTTCAGGAGCAATTGCTCTGTCTATAGGTGTAAATTTGATGTGTTTGTGGGAGGTGAGTTCAGGGTCTTCCTACATGGTCATTTCGGTACTGGAGGTACTTATTTATTTTTAATAATTATTCACCTTAAAGGGATGAGTTAGGAAATTCTCTTCATTCTTTTCACTTTGAACAATTTATTTAACCTTGAATTCTTATTTTTAAAAAGAGCACGTTTATCAGTTAAAAGAAAAATACGAATATCTAAAATTAACCCATCCAAAGACTGTAGTCACAGATGGGTTTAAGATCCCAAACTGCAACCATAAGTTGTTGACAGGAGACACATTTAAAGCCAAAGCTGTAGCATGGCAGTAGTTGGGAGAAGGGAGATGAGCAAAGATTAAATTCTTAGAGAAAAAGGAAACGGGATTGGTAATGCCAAAGTGATTTTTTTTTTATTAAGATTTCTTTTTAATTGGGGAGTTGGGGGAGGGAAACAGCGTTGGGGAATCCGGAACAGGGAACAGACAAGTTGCTGTCCTTTTGTTCTTCAGTCTAGTTATGGAAGACGTTGCTTCACTGGTCCATGTTGGTATTATCATTACACTCTCCCCAGGTGAGGCAGTTGCACACCGGCTGCCGGCAGCTCACGGTAGCTTATGGCAGCCCTCTGCAGCAGGGGCTGTAGCCTACACCATCGCTGACGACTCACAGCAGCCCAGCTCCAGGTTGAGCTGTTGTTCAACATCTTAGCTGTAGAGGGTGCAGTGTCACTGGCCCTCATTTGGGATCCGAACCGGGGCCCTGAGGCTCAGAGCTGGTGTCCCAAGCCAGCTCTTAACCAACGCACCACTCGGCTGGCCCTCCCAAAGTGATTTTAGAACCAACACTATTAGAGATGCCAAATAATTTGTGGTAGAAGGTATGATAAAATATATATATATAAAAACTGAGAAATGAGCAAATATAGAGTAATTATAGAAGAGTGTAAACTCTTTGTGATCAGCTCTTCAGCAGATAGTGTAAACCAAAAAGGCAACAGAATGGAGTTAATAGAACAGACAGGAACAGACCCAACTCCATAGACAGGGTCACACCTTCTTTTCAGGTGTTCAAGGAGGATGACTTCATGCTTTCTCACTTAATAAAACAGGTCAATTGGTTGTTTATTTCATCACTGAGTGTTGACACAATTTGGAGGGGCACATTGACCATAAACCCTTCCCCCCAACAGCCTTGTTCTTGAAAACAAATTTATGGCTATATTTGATTACCAAGTTTCAGTTAAAACTAGAAATTTATAATGTTAATATTGTAAACAATATTTTACAGCGATTTTAACCTATGTTCCTGTTGTCCTCATGATCCTTCTATGATTTGAATTATCCCAAAACTTTCTAAAAATACTCCCAATATTGAATAAACTTGCTTAAGCAACATGCCCCTTTTTTGGGGCAGCCTATCTGAGAATTAGTAGTTTAGGCCTTCATTCAGCAAACCAAAGCAAAATAAGATTTGAGTAATGATTCTTTTATTTAAGGAAATATATTTTATTGGGTGTACCTGTGTACAGTATATTAATGGTGTTGTGGGAGAATTGAAGATGACTAGGATAAGGTCCCCCCTACAGCATAGTTTTGTGATGGAGTCAGGTAAATGCATCAAATAATTCTCAGAATAAGTAGACTGATAAATATTATAGAAGCACAAATTTGATAATAAACTTATTTTACTGTTTTATATTTCTTGCACTTATGAGAAAATAAGAATGTCTTACTGCCTGTCAGTGACATTTCATTGCTTCAATCGATAGACCAGATAACATGAAAAACTCTTATAGAAAAGATTCAGTAGAATACTGATCATAATATAGATAATAATATTCAAGATTCAAATTCATCATAAAATTAAGATACAATTATTATTGCTTTTGCTTGGAATTCAAACCATAAGGACAACTTGGGAAGAACTGGGCCTTTGTTACGGCTATGAAAGTATTGAAGAATATAGGTTTTGTTATAAGACTACCCAAATACCTTGGTTAAACGTCTTTGCGGGTGAGGGGAAAGAGTCATGTCATTTTGCAAGTAAGACAAAGTTGGTGTTAGCATTCAGAATGTCCTCGAGTCCATTTTTCTTAGGGATGAAGATGTAGTTGATGGTCATTTGAATGTTTCTGCTGAGTGAGAGGAATCTGATATAACAGTAAGAAGTTGTTTTGGAGGCAGAAATGGTTACTCTCACCAGAGTGTCGTTGTTAAAAACAGTGGGAAAGTGTTATTGTGTATATGTGGCATAAACCCATATTGCTGGGTTTATGAAAATGGTCATCCACAGTTAACAGGGCCAGGCTCTGTTAGGTTTGAGATTCAGTATGTGCTATACTGTGCCAGCTGCATCCCCCCTAGCTTGAGGCCTTTTGGTGGGTAATATACATGTAGCCTTCATGTGTATGAAACAAGTATTTACAGAGTGCTAAACATTTAATACTTTACCAGTTTGCATTCTTTTTGCCAAAATGTTCTAAAAACTGCTTTTAATATCATCTCCCCCCTCCTTTTTTTCTTTTTTAGCTCTGCTTATGATAATGTCAACAAAGTTCGAGTAGCTATCAAGAAAATCAGTCCTTTTGAGCACCAGACCTACTGCCAGAGAACCCTGAGGGAGATAAAAATCTTACTGCGCTTCAGACATGAGAACATCATTGGAATTAATGATATTATTCGAGCGCCAACCATCGAGCAAATGAAAGATGTGTATCCTTTTCAGACAGCTGACTCCACTGCTTGGTCACCTTGTTTAGTAAATGTAACTTGAAGTGTCCTGGACTTACCAGATTAAAGGAGAAGTATATGAAGCACTTTATTTTTTATTTTTTTTATTTTTATAAGAGTTTATTTGAGCCAAACAGACAACATATGCCTGGGAGCAAGATCTCAAATACTCCCTATATGAAGCACTTTTAAAGGGAAATTGTAATCTGTTTGCCATTTACTATAACACTTGCATTATATAAAATTTTTCTCCACTTCATTTTATTATGTCACTATTTTTAGTGTCTTTGGCAAATCTAATGTTTTTTTCTTGTCAGTTTCAGTAAAGATTTCTTTAAATGTAGTTATGGAAAATCTTGGTTAATATCATCTCCGTTCAAGGTTTGGTTGGTTATGATGGTAGAAAGGAAAAGAAAGAGCTGTGAACTAAGAAAGAGGGTACCCTAGATACCACCTGGTTAAATGCAGACTGTCCTGATCTTAGACAAAGTCCTTTTGCCTCTAGGTCTCAGTTTTCTCATCTTTAAAATTAAGGTACTAGCCCTCATGATCTTGAAGGCAAATCAGCTCTGAAATTGTTATTAACTATGACCAACATTTAGAAATATGGACTAAGCAGGTCCAGAAAATGCTACCTGTGTAAAGACTACGCTCGAAAGATAGAGGCATTATGTATACTAAAGAGGACCTGCCAGAAGAAAATTCCAATTTTGGCTAGTACAGCATTCCTACCAGTTTGCTTAATTTGAATTCTGCCCCTCCCAGGAGAAGCAGCTCACTGTCTCTAGGCAGCCCTTTCTATTTATAAACAGCTCTGTTAATAAGTTCGAGTGATATTTTAAGTGAAATGCCTCCTGCCGCTACCACCTGTTGTCCTGCTTTACCTTTTGTCATAAAAATCAAGTCTCTTTCAGATGACAAGTTTTCAAGTCAGTTTCCTTTGAATCCCATCTAGCATGAATCTGTAGGAGATATACAATAATATTTACACAGAAATGAATAAACAATGCAAAAACATTGCTAATAATATTATGGTGAAGTTAAAAGCTAAAGGCTTTTATAATTTAATTTCTATAAGAAAGAAGTTAGCCATAGCTAAAATTCTAGATGCTTAGATACATGGATAGGCAAGAAAGCAAGAGGGGCAAAACTAGCACAAGTCCCTTCTTAGCATGACTTTCCCATAATCTTATTTATTTAGGATCTTAACATTAATTGAATAGTCAAGCAAATAAACTGAGGGTTGAATTTAGTAGCAATATGTGTTAGGCCTGTATTTCCAAAAGTTTTATGGTTGATTTTTGAGGAGGAGAAGGGAACAAGAAAGGAAGTAAAAGACATTATAAGTTCTTGGTGGGTCAGAGAGAGGAGGAAATGTATGATGACCTCTCCCAGCCCTTTCCAACCAGCCTTGGAGGAGCTTTATTGATGGTGAATAACATGTAGAACAGGGAGGCCGAAACTTCAAGATTGGCCAGTATTTCCGTAACAGCCTGTTTCAGGTCTCAGTTTAGACCCATAATCAGTCATATCAGGCAGGTATAATGCCTCTTGTCTCAAGAGGAGTTAACTATTTCAGATACCTTCCATAAGGGTATATACCAAGTTTTCAGTTTCACATTTCCCTTGTGGGCCTCATGATGTAATTAATAATGGACCATTTGGGGAAAGAGTTCATTTTGTGTTCAGTGTTTTGCGAAGTGTGACCAGCTATTTGGTGTGTTACCTTAACCTGTCCAAACAGATATATAGTACAGGACCTCATGGAGACAGATCTCTACAAGCTCTTGAAGACACAACACCTCAGCAACGACCATATCTGCTATTTTCTTTACCAGATACTCAGAGGGTTAAAGTATATCCATTCAGCTAACGTACTGCACCGTGACCTCAAACCTTCCAACCTGCTGCTCAACACCACCTGCGATCTCAAGGTCAGCCAGGTTACTCACTCTTAGAGTGATATATATTGAAAAAACTCTTTTACTGGGGCATGTTTCTATTTATTGTTATTCATATTTAAACTTACACCAGAAATGCATGAAAATATATAT